AACTCCCCCAGCGCCGCTTGCAGCCCCAGCTGGCCTGCTGCTGGCGGCTGTGCAGGGCTTCCCCTGCCTCCCTGCAAAAGAGCGGAGGGTTCACCCCATGCCGTGCCGTTCCCTGCTGACCTGTCACAGCCCCCCTGCCAGAGTACCTCCTGATACTCCGGCATATCTGATAATCAGGCACCCCCTGGGTCCCAAACGTGCCGGATTATCGGAAGTCTGCTGTACTGCCTTTTATAAACTTTACTTGCTCAGAATTCAGGAAACCGACACTGTTGGTGCATTATAGACTCTCCCTAGTTAGGTAGTTTTGTTTGGATGTGTTCCTCATTTTGGTATCATTAACATATGCATGCTTCCAGAATTCCAGGATAGCCAGAGTACACTCAAAAGTGATAACTTCAAGAAGATTACTGTATAGCTTGCAGAGCAAATTACTGGCTTACATTTTAGTTACCTTTTAAAAAAATCCAACACTAAAACAAAATAAAAACATTCCTCAAAAAGCTTATAATACACAGGAGACCCTTGCCTTTTTAAAACTTCAATAATCTATCACCATGGCATCCAGAGTACTGAAGTGTCAGTGCCCTACCATTTGTTTTATAAAAGTTCAAGATTTATCCCTAAATAGAAGAACTAGAGGACACAAATGAAATTAATGGGGAGCAGGTTTAAAACTAATAAGCGAAAGTTCTTCTTCACACAGCGTGTAGTCAACCTGTGGAACTCCTTGCCAGAGGAGGCTGTGAAGGCTAGGACTATGAGGGTACGTCTACACTACAGCGCTAGTTCGAACTAACTTTCTAGTGTAGACATACCCTAACAGAGTTTAAAGAGAAGCTAGATAATTTCATGGAGGTTAGGTCCATTAAAGGCTATTAGCCAGGGGATAAAATGGTGTCCTTGGCCTCTGTTTGTCAGAGGCTGGAGAGAGATGGCAGGAGACAAATCGCTTGATCATTGTCTTCGGTCCCCCCTCTCTGGGGCACCTGGTGCTGGCCACTGTCGGTAGACAGGATACTGGGCTAGATGGACCTTTGGTCTGACCCAGTACGGCCGTTCTTATGTTCTTATGTTCTTATCTAAGCTCAGGACTTAATACAACAATTAAATGTCAAATTTTAGTTGGCCACCTACAACAATTAAAGGACTAAATCCACAATTAGACAAAAAACACAAACTTAATTAGGCAAAGGCCTGTGTGAACAGGTGAGTGGTACATGGAAGCTGAGCTCTGTCAGGCACGGAGGATCCAAATTCCAGCATCAAGAAATAGGGATGTAAAAGACTAGTCAACTATCCGATAAGCATTTGCTTATCGGTAGTATTTTGAATAGTCGATATCCTCCCTCCCCCCTTTGCTGCCTCTGTGATCAGCTATGCTGCCTCCATGGATCAGCTGTGCAGCCGCTGCCCCCTTCGCTGCTCCGCAGGAGCCTCGGGCAGGCTCCCTACTTTCTGTGCCCTGTGCATCACTCAAAGCAGCTATTTGTAGGGGCAGTCTTTACTCTGCATGCCAGGGTGAGGTGGGGCTCTGTGCTTTGCCCTTGCCCCTCAGCACACTCTTATATCTCCCATTGGCCAGAAATCAGCCAATGGGAACTGCCTGGGAGGTTCTTGCAGCATGGACATTATGTGGAGGCTCCCTCTTCCCCAGGGTGCTCAGTGTGCAGAGAATATATGGCCTCTTCAGCCAGCCACACTGAGTGGCGTGGAACACAGGGAGCCAGCCTGAGGGTCCTGCTGACTGGGAGTCCCCTAGGTAAATGCCTTCTGGCTAGAGCCTGACTCTGGCACCCCAACTCCTCCCTTTTCCCAACCCTCTGCTCCCCCTCCTGCAGCCCTGCACTAAGTCACAACCCAAACCTTCTGCACCTCCACTCCTACACCCATACTCCCTCGTGGACTCTTTACTCCAATCTCCTTACCCAGGTCACAACCCAAACCCCTGCATTCCTACACCTCACTCCTACATCCATACCCCATCCTGTTTCTCTCCTCTAAGTCAGAATCTTCTCCTGTACCCATACTCTCTTCTGCATCCTCCTCCTGCACTCCAATACCCTGCCCCAGGTTACAACCCCCATCTTCACCCAAACTCCCTCCGGGTATGTCTACACTGCATTCCTCTTTTGAGAGAGGAATGCAAATGCAGCTGAGCGAAATTGCAAATGAAGCGTGGGTTTGAATTTTTCCATGCTTCATTTGCATAATAGCATCCAGGCGCTATTTCGAAATACCCTATTTCGAAAAAAGAAACAGTCTAGACGCGGTTATTTCGAAAAAAAACCCTTCTTTCGAAATTACCCTTAAACCTCATTTTTTAAGGAGTAAGGGTTATTTCGAAAGAAGGGGTTTCTTTCAAAATAACCACGTCTAGACTGCGGTTTTTTAATTTCAAAATAGGGTATTTCGAAATAGCGGCCGGATGCGATTATGCAAATGAAGCATGGGAAATTCAAATCCACGCTTCATTTGCAATTTTGCTCAGCTGCATTTGCATTCTGCTCTCGAAAGAGGAATGTAGTGTAGACGTACCCTCCCAGACTCCACTTTTCCTCCTACAACCCATTCCTTTCTCCAGAGCTTCCTTCTGCACTCAACCTCCATCCCAAGCTCCACACCTCCTCCATTAATATCATGGAAGAGTGCTGCCCTTGACTACTGATCAAAGTTTTGGAGTGACCCCCCTCAAAAATTATTGCCCACCCCTGCCATACATCCATTACACATGCGGTTTCTCCAATTTGTATTGGGACAAGATCCCTATCATAACAAGATAGTGTCGTATGGGCTCTCATGATCCCCCAAATCTTTTTCACAATTCTAGTATATTTAGATAACTGTAACAAGATGTCCCATATTTAAAGCCCTCCTGCAGGTCCCCAAAGGGTCTGAACTGGGACCAAACCTATTCAACTTATTCATAAATGATCTAGAGAAAGGGGTAAATAGTGAGGTGGCAAAATTTGCAGATGATACCAAACTGCTCAAAATAGTTAAGACCAAAGCAGACTATGAAGAGCTTAAAGTTCTCACCAAACTAAGTGGTTGGGCAACAAAATGGAAAATGAAATGTAATATTGATAAATGTAAAGTAATACACATTGGAAAAAATAATCCCAACTATACATAAAATATAGTACACTGGAACTGGAAGGGACCTTGAGAGGTCATCGAGTCTAGTCCCATGTCCTCATGGCAGCACACAGTGCCATCTAGACCATCCCCAATAGATGTCTATCTCACCTGCTCTTAAATATCTCTAGAGATGGGGAATTCCACAACCTCCCTAGGCAATTTATTCCAATGTTTAGCCACCTTGACAGTTAGGAAGTTTTTCCTAATGTCCAACCTAAACTTCCATTGCTGCAATTTAAGCCCATTGGTTCTTGTCCTATCCTCAGAGGCCAAGGAGAACAATTTTTCTCCCTCCTCCTCATGACACCCTTTTAGATAACTGAAAACTGCTATCATGTCCCTTCTCAGTCTTCTGCTTCCAGACTAAACAAGCCCAGTTCTTTCAGTCTTCTTTCATAGGTCATGGTCTCTAGACCTTTAATTCTTGTTGGTCTTCTCTGGACCTTCTCCAATTTCTTCATCTTTCTTGAAACGTGGTGCCCAGAACTGGACACAATACTCCAGTTGAGACCTAATCAGCATAGAGTAGAGCAGAAGAATGACTTCTCGTGTCTTGCTCACAACGCTCCAGTTAATGCATCCCAGAATCATGTTTGGTTTTTTTGCAACAGCATCATACTGTTGTCTCATATTTAGCTTGAGGTCCACTCTGACCCCTAGGTCCCTTTCTGCAGTACTCATTCCTAAGGATGTTAAAATGTGGTTAATTACCTAGTCAACTAGTCAAGGGAATTTTCATCAACTAGTCAATAGGCACTTCCACATTTCTCCTTCAAAACATACAAGAGCCTCTGCTGGGGCTCTTGTACATTTCAAAGGAGGAACGAGGAACTCTGCATACAGCCCAGGGCCAGTGGGAAGTCCTAGCGGGAAGTCATAGTCCCCCGCTGACCCTGGACCTCCGCGCCTTTCAAAGGGGCAGTGGAGCTTGGGGTCAGCTGGGGACTCCCCAGCTGACCCCAGGCTCCTAGCGGCATGCAGTGTAGCATGGAGCCCAGGGTCAGCGGGGGACTGAGAGTCCCCCACCGACCTCCAGACTCCATGGCCT